AAAAAAAGACTCAACTACATAGTGAAAAACCTATCTAAAAAAGAAAAAAAACAGAAAACAAAACTGGAAAACATAACTCTAAAACTTCATACGGAGGTACAGAAGAACCCAGATAGCTAGAGCAATCCTAAGCAGAAAGAGCCATGCCAGAGGCAGTAGTTTAAAAATATGCTCTAGCCAGGCATGGTAAATCTGCCTATAATCCTAGTTCTCTGGGAAGCTGAGGCAGGAGGATTGCAAGTTTGAGCACAGACTCAGCCACTTAGTGACTGTGAGTGTTGCCGTGCATGATGGCAGGTAGAAAGCCAATGATGCAGATGGTAAAAAACTTTCCAGGCATAGATAAATGCAGAAGGAAATTTATTGAAATATACACTGGGAGAAAAAGCAGGGCAATAAGAGAGGGGACTACAGTAGAGCTGGAGAGGATGCTTTTCTTCTGGCAGGCAATAGGCATAGGTCTGTTGTTGCCATTGGCAACTGCACCCCTGATTGTGAAGGGCAGCAGCACGTGGGTACTTGTGCTCTTGGGAAAGTTTCGCTGTGTTTCTTTAGTTTCAGTTTTTGTGTGTGGGCTTGTTTGTTTGCTTGTTTGTTTTTGAGACAGTGTTTTACATGTAGTCCAAGCGGGCCTTGAGCTCTTGGTGATCCCGCTGTCTTAGCTTGAGGGGTGCTGGGATTACTGGCATGTGCTACCATGCCCGGTGTAAAGTTTGTGTTTTGACATTTTGAAATGTTGGTTGTCAACCACACACTGAGGGCCCAAAGCATGGGGAATGTTCTCACAGTCCTTAATGGAAAATATTTTCGTTGAAGTATTATCCACAAGACTCAGTTTCAAAATTTAAAAAATAAAAATAAAACAAGCTGGGGATGTAGCTCAGTGTAAAGGCACTGGGTTCAGTCCCCAATCCTGCAAAAACAAAAACCAACAATAACAAAACAACAAAACCTCAGAATCACAGTAACTAACGCAGATAAAATAAGAAAATAGAAAACAAACAAACAAACCCAAAACCCAACAGACACAAAATAGGAAGAAAGAAAAAGAAAAAAACCCAGAAACATAGTACAATGGGACAGAATAGAAGACTCAGCAATAAACTTAGGCACCTATAACCAACTGACTCTCAACAAAAATGCCAAAACTATTCATTGGAGGAAAAGAACTCATTCACAAATGGTGCTGGCAAAGTTAGATATACGCAGGTAGAAGACTGAAACTAGACCCCTGCAACCTGTACAAAAATCAACTCAGGGGGGCTGGGGATTTAGCTCAGTGGTTCTGCCTCCTGCCTTGCAAGTGCAAGGACCCAAGTTCCATCTCTGGTTAAAAAAAAAACAAAACAAAAACAAAAGGCAAATGATCCAAACATACTTCTGAAAAGAGGTCTAAATGACAGATAACTATGTGAAAACAATGCTCAATAGTCTTAGCTGTCAGGGAAATCCAAAGCAAACTAAATTGAGATTCTAGCTTATCTGAGTCAAAATGATTATTACAAAAAAAAAGAGTGCTGGTGAGAGCATGGAGAAACAGAACCCTTTTGTGCTGTTGGAGGGAATGGAAATTAATACAGCTGTTACAGGACAGGTGTCTGCCTGCGCAATAGCCATCCTGAGCAATATGCATCCTGAACGCAGGCCCGGCAGGACGCAGAAGCCTGAGAAAGGGAGAGACGTGTTGGAGCGAGAGTACACTCTACCGCGGCACAGTGAGCGGAGCCAGAGAGAAAGCTCAAAAGCGAGTTTGACCCAGAGCGGCCCGGTTGCAGACCTGAGGTTAAAGTGCCCTTGGGAGAGTTCCAAGTAGGCAGAGATCAGAGATGGCAGCTGCCAGTGACGAAATCCACCCTCAGGGGCGGGTCACCGCCGTGACTACCGGGAAGGTTTCTGGAAATCGGGGCTCTGTCCAGTGATCTGAGAGTCCACTCTCACCGGGGAAGGGAGCGTGTGACTTCCTATGGGTCTAGGAGGCTGCGGGGAACAAGACGGCCGGCTAAAGCCACGGTGATGATCTTGTGCACCCCTGTGGTACCGGTCTCAGATCAGGACTCTAGAAAGAGTGAGAAGGGAGGAGCCTGCCGTTTAGGGTCAGGAAGCTGAGGAGACATGGTAGGAGCAGGACCTGACTGTTGTGCTTTGTATCTAGACGCCCCCAAGAGCCTCTGGCACTCAGGTAAGGCTTTTGCAAGGAGACTGGATTGGTGGGCTAGCAGCTAACTTCAGAGGTGGGCCTGGTAGTGATTTCAAGGACAACCTGAACTACATAGTAAGTAAGACCCCACCCAAAAAAAATAAAAAATAAATAAAAAAGGGAAGAAACTGTTTGGGAATATGGCTATCTTTCTAATCCAGAGTTCTCAGAACTCAGAGAAACAGTTGAGCTTCAGCTTGGTGATGTGGGGCCCTAACTGCAGTGCCATCATTTGAATTTTGAGCCTGGCTAGTTGGGGCCGAGTGCAGGAGCTTCATCTAAAACAGTGTCCTGGGCCGGGGATTTAGCTCAGTGGTTCTGCCGCCTTACTTGCAAGCGAAAGGGCCCGAGTTCGATCCGTGGTACCCAAAAGCAAAAACAAAAAACATAAAACAGTGGCCTTTTGTAATCTTTATTTAACAAACCTTAGAATTGAACACAGCTTGTACAGAGAAAATACTCAAAGATTTTTTTGTTTTTTCTGGTACTGGGGATGGAACCTAAAGCCTTTATATTGAACTGCATCCCCAGTCCATTTTTAATTTAATTAAATTAATTAATTTCTTTGTTTTTACCTTTTTGCGGGGGCGGGTACCGGGGATCGAACTTGAGACCTTGTGCTTGGGAAGCAGGTAGCAGATCCACTGAGCTAAATCCCTGGCCCTGCCTTATTTATTATATTTTATTTTGAAACAGGGCCTTGCAAAATCACTAAGTTGCCCAGGCTGAGCTCAAACTTGTGATCTTCCTACCTCATCCTCTCAGAGTGCTGGAATGACAGGAATGGACCACCATGCCTAGCTCAAAGGATATTTGTTGACTTGAAAGACCTGTCATTTGAAAAAACTGGAGGAAAAAAATAGGAGTCTACCGATTTTGGCGTGTGTCTTAAATGAAGACAAGGAGAGACAAGAGGTGTCCCTTCTCTAAAACAGAATACTGTAGATTGAGTAATTTATAAACTATAGAAATTTACAGTTATGAAGAATAGAAAGTCCAAGATCAATGTGCCAGCAGGTCTGATGTCCAGAGGGCTGGTTCCTCGTAGATGAGATGGTACTTTCTATGTGTTCTCACATAGCGCAGGGAAGCCAGGACCCTGCCATAGAACACAGAGCCTTTGCACTGAGTCACATCCCCAGCCTCACCCCCTTACATCTTTCTATTTTGAGATAGGGTCTCATTAAGTTGCTAAATTGCCCCGGCTGGGCTCAAACTTGTGACCCTCCTGCTTCAGCCTCCCAGAGCACTAAGGTTACAGGCAGCTCTCAAGCCTTATTTATAAAGGCTTTGCCCTCATGATTTAATCACTTTCTAAAGGCCCTAGGCTTCTGGGCTAGGCCTGTGGCTCAGTGTTAGCTATAGTGTTTTTCAAACCTTATCTTGCCAGATGTGGAGCTGCATGTCTGCAATTCCAGCACCATCGGAGGCTGAGGCAGGAGAATCACAAGGTGGAGCCTAGGCTGGACAATTTAGTGAGACCCTATCTCAAAATAAAAAAAAATAAAAAAGGGTTGTAGTGTAGCACAGTGGTAGAGTGCTTACCTAGGATGATTGAAATCTTGGGTTTGATCTTCAGCAGTGCAAATAAATACTGAATAGAGGGAAACAAAAGCCCTAGCTCTTAATCCTATTACATTGGGAAATAAATTCAAACAGATGAATTTGGGGGGTGGTATATCAATATTTGGGCCACAGCAACACTTCTCTGTCTTGTTATCTTTTGGTGTATATAAACAGAACAGACTGGCTCTATAAATCCACACAGTGCCTTTATCTTAGTTTCTTTTAAATTAGTATATGTTTGTGATACATTCACCCTGGGCAATTGGTATATACATTGTACTTACTGTACCTTAATCGCTTTTGCTTCTTTTGCCCTTCACAGCCCTAAGTGGCTTTAGGTGTCTTGAGGATAGCAGCTTATTCCACCAGCCAGTGGCTCTGGAGGCTGTAGGGTCTAGAGGTCCTGAATGGGCACAGAGATCTCAGGCAGGAATTGTTGAGCCCAGTGGGGGCCGTATTTATGTAAGTATCCATTCCTGCCCAATGGTGAAGGCAGGACCTTCTGTGATTCTCCTGCCAGCTGGGAGGAAAGAAAGTCAATGGAGAACCAGGCTATTATCTGAAATCAGCCCCCTTCAAACAATGCTCTGGTTGATTCTTTCTTAGCGCTGCTTTTTCTGTCTTTTCCAAGGGGAGGAAGCAACAGTTGGCTAATCTATGAAATCTTCTGGTTTGGAGTTGCTGGGATCCGACTGACTTTAGGGGAGGTCATCTTATCAGAATCTTATCCAAACCCCTGACCCACATTTACATAATCCATGCACTGCATTTGTATACAGTGGAGTTACAAGATCTTCTCTGGCATTATTGGTATGAATGCCTTGGGAGAGTTAAGAATGCAAATTCTTGAGACCCCTCTCCAAAACTACTGGGTCAGAATTCCAAGGTGAGGTCCAGAAAGCTGTGTTTTAACAAGTTTAGCTGGTGACTTTTATGTATGCTAAAGTTCAAAAAGTACTGCTGTATGAGTCACATACACACTGTCTCACATACACGCGTGCACACACACACACACACACACACACACAGTTGCCTATAACTCCTGCAGCTGCTAAAGCCACTTGCTTATTTTCCTGTGGTTTCCCTCAGCAGGGCCCTGGGGTTTGTTTTCCTCCACTGTGGACCTTGTTGGCTTCCTGCTGCTTCCCAGAGGCTGGGAGAGGAAGGAGCGCTGGAATGAAGACTAGAGGCGGGAAGGGGTTAGATGAGGTAGCTGAGCTTTCTGAGAATGAGAATTGAAAGGAAAATGCTTCGCGACAATGTTCCTTTGTGCAGAGCGGAGCTTTATGTTGATAGAGCTGCAAGACATTACAGCCCCGGCGCACAGCGGGAGTCGACCAGGTCCTTCTCCGGGTCCAGATCGCCCCCTGCTGCCCGCTGAGAAACAGCCCTTCGGGACTCGTCCTGCCCAGGAAAAGAGGAAGAGTCTCCGGAGTTGGAGCGGGAGAGGACGTGAGGAAGGCCAGGAGGTCAAAAAGTCACCTCTGAGGCTGCAGCAGAATCTTGTTAAATTTTTGTTTGCGGGAAAGGAAGACATAGCCAATGCACTGGGTGTTACCAGGACTCATTCCACAAACGGGGTTCTGCCAAGGTCTCCAGCGGCTCGCATGATTCCAGGCGGCTGCCTGGTCTGGCTCTGCAGCCACTTTCCTGTTATTGCTCACCCTTGCCTCACCTTGAGCAGAAAGGGTGTTGAAAATAGGAGAGGGAGAAAGAAAGAGAAAATACTATGGCAATTTATGGTGTGGAGACATTTTGGGCCAATTAGTCAAGGCTCTGAATTTTCTCCCCGAATCTCTTTTTCTCAGACTTTCTTTGTTTCTTTTGTTTCCATGCAAGCGCCGTGTCTTTCAGTCTTTCTTCTCCTGCCAGGAACTCTTACCCCACAGCTGTGGCGTCAGCTCTTCTTTCCAACTTTATTGCTCCACATTATTGCTGTTGGGAGTGATGGTTCACGTGGGTCACTGGTGGAAAGAGCAAAGATTTGTTCCCGGGTGAAGAGATCAGGCGCCGCAGTTGCTCCTGCCAAGCATGGGCAGTGACCCATTTCCTCCTGCTTCTTGCCTTTGTCCCTTTACAGCCCTGACTGTAGCTGACATCACAGTGCCTTCACCCCTCTGTCGCCCACCCTTGGCTTTCTGCAGCACATAAGACTCCTGCTGGGGAGGTGCATTCCTTGGCAGTTCTGGAAAATAATTTAAAGTGACCTGAAGGTTCTGGGGGCAGGTATGGGAGGTGGAGGGGAGAGTAGCAGGGAAAGGACAGGTGGGCAGGAGATAGAGGCAGGGATCAAATTCTTCAGGCTGTTATGTTGTGAGATCTTTAGCCTCTCCCCAAATATTCTCAGGTTCCATGCCTTTCAATCAAACTAACATCTTTAGATACAAATTTGTTTGCTTGGTTTCTGATCTACGTAAGACAAAATATCTGGATCTTTAGAACAAACCACGCATTTGGATAGTTTTGTCTATATGACGCCAAGTATATGCTAGTTATGTATTTATTTAAAATGCCAGTGTTTTATTCACTGTCTTCTTGTTACGGTACTGGAAGGAGAATTTCATCTCTTATAAATAATTTACGTAGTTGTATTCATTGTGAGCAGGATTGCACCTCCAGAATTGTGTGCCTGGAGTTGGACCACACTTCCAGGTAGGAGGGGCCTGTTTATTATTCATGGCACTTGGCTTGGTGAGAGGTGGTTTGGGCTCTTCCTACACTGGTAGATGGTGGCTGAAGGAGAAGAACAACTACATACTTTATAGGGCCTGGTGCAAAGTGAAAACACAATGTCTGTTGTTCAAACATTATTAAGAATTTCAAGATGGTGACCGCAGAGCATTAAATGTGGCGTGAGGCTCTGTCTGATATTGGGAACTATATGACCTATAATGGCCCAGGTCACAGACCCATGAAGCCAGCTGTGGTAGAGAAAGTTCCTGCTCTAGTTTGGTTACTCGTGTGTTAAAGACCGGGTCCTCAGCCTTTGGTTTTAGGGGGTGGGGGGTGAGACGTATCTGAGGCGGGGCCCACTAGAAGTCAAGTCACTGTGACTGTGCCCTTGAAGTGGGTACTCGAACCTGGCTCCTTCCTGCCAGGTACATATACCTGTGTATACCACCATGCCTGGCAGCCCGGAGAATTATATCCCATTGTTCAGTAATTTGTAGATGAGCCCACGGAGATGCCATAACCAATCTTATCTTTGGATGCAAATATATATATATTTTAACTTTAAAATGTTATAAACTTTTGAAAATCCTTGAAAAAGTATGGGTTCAATCCTAAGTACAAAAAAAAAAAAAGAGAGAGAGAGAGAGAGAGAGAGTGTTAGAAGACTGGAAGCATGAAAACATTCTCAGCCAGGTATGATGGCACACACCTGTAATCCCAGCACTCAGAAGGCTGAGGCAGGAGAATCCCTGAAAGTTTGAGGCCAGCATCGGCTCCATAGTAAATTCAAGACCAGTGTGAACTACAAGCCTCAAAACAAAACAAAACAAAACATGAAAACATTCTCATACATTTCATAAATGAGAGAAACATGGATTCCCGAAATTCATACCGTGAAGTACAATGCTGATCTTGGGGGAAAAAATCCCAGAATAGTGTATTACTTGTTTAATGGACCCTTTACTGAGGAAGATGCTGACATTTAAGATTCACTTTTTCAGGAAAATTTCATGTCCAAACATCTACATTTATTTTTTGATAAGGTTAAGAGATGTGTAAATAGCACAATCGAGCACACTGTATTTTACTTTTAGCAAGATGATTGCCAAGTCCCTTGATATAATTGTGGAAATGACAAGAAAATATGACAAGATCCTAGCAAGGCTGACTGGATCAATGAAGTTAAAAGGTTTGTGTCAGGGCAATGGATTCAAAGCTCTTTGATCCTGTCCTGGTTTCTGTTTTTATTAAAGACTAGAGAAAGTACTTTAATTTAAGTTGTAGATGACAAATTTGGGTACAGTTTTTTTTGGGGGGGCACCTGGGATCGAACTCAGGACCATGAGGCAGACACGGTGTTACTTAGCTAAATCCCCGGCCCTTATGTCCATCACCAGATGAATGGATAAAGAAAACATGGCATTTATACACAATGGAGTACTGCTCTGCTGTAAAGATAAATTTGAATCATTTGTAGGAAAATGGAGACCGTAATATTGCAAAATAAATTGGACACATGTTTACTTTTTTTTCTTTTTGGTACTGGGAATCAAACACGGACCCTTGTGCTCGTGAGGCAGGTGCTGGAACCGCTGAGCTAAATCCCTGGCCCTGGACACACAAATGAAAATATCATGTTGTTTCTCTTGTGTGAGAAACCCAGAGGGTAAATGAGGAGCAAAATGGAAGATAGATGTAAGGAAGTAGGAAGGGTATGTTCATCTGGGGAGGGGAACAAGAGAGGTGGGAGGGAGAAGGGAAGGAAGGGAAAAGGCGAAAATGAAGGGGATGGAGAGAAAAAATGGAAACAAAACTATTGTAAGTGGGGAAGGGGAGAAGGGTTGCAGGGAGAGGAGGGGAATGGGGGAAAAGAAGAATGAAGATGTATTAGTACAGTACAAATTTCCTATGATGAATGTGATCAGTATGTATGATAAATATGTGGTAATAAAAGTAGTAAAAAGAAACTGGGGAATATTCAACAATTATATGTGCAAGAGGCTTTATTATATATTTTGTCACTTTATTCTTGCAACACGTTTATAGGGTAGCTGCACCACCTTTAACAAAGAAGAAACTGGGCATAATAAGATTAAATATTTACCCCAAATCCTACAGCTATAATCAGAATTTAAACACAAGTCTAGATGACTTCCCCACCTATATACTTAGTCATTCATTGTGTACACTGCCTTTCAGAAGAAAGAAATATCAAGTCAGTAAGTTTTTACATTATTGATGTTACTAGGGATTGAACCCAGGACCTTCACGCTGAACCGCCATCCCAGCCCCTTCTTTAAAAAATATTTTTATTTTGAGACAGGGTCTCACTAAATCACTAAGGATGGGCTTGAACTTTTAATCCTCCTGCTTCTTCCTCCCAGAGTGCTAGTTAGTAAGATCTTAGATTGTACCCAAACACAAATTGTTAAAAGACCTTGGGTCTGTTATATTTGCAGAAACAAAAATGTTGTGGCTATTTTCAAATATTTTAAGTTTTATGTGGAAACTTTTGGTACTGGGGTTCTGAGGGTATAATTAGGGCAAAGAAATAGATTAAATATTTGTTCCACATAAGGAAAGACTTTATGATCATCGGACTTGTTAAAAAATGGAATGAGTTGTTTAGAAAAAGACTGGTTTACAAGACAACTGGGCAGGAATGGGGTGTAGCTCATTGGTGCAGTGCGTGCCTGGCAAGTGCAAGGTTCTGAGTTTGATCCTGGTACTGGGAGGAAAAAAAAAAAAAAAAAAAGACAGCTGGACATAGACATTCAGAGCCGTTTTACTTTTGAAAGACAAAAACTAGACATGATTTAAGGGTCCATCAGTAATGAGTGGATAGTCAAGATGAGAAACAAAAAGGAACAAAGTATTAATGCACGTAACAACATGAATGGAACTCAATTATATTGTGCAAAAGAAGTAAAAAAAATAGTGTGTGCTATGTTATTCCATTTGTATAAAATTCTAGAATATGTAAACTAATCCACATGGATGGAAAACAGATCATTGGTTGCCTGCAGACAGGGTGGGTGGGTGGGGAAGGGAGAGAGGGATTACAGAGAAACACAAGGTAATTTGGGGGTGTGTGGGTGGGGCACTTCTTTATCTTGATTGTATATACATTACATCGAAGCTCATCAGACTGTGCACTTTAAATATCGGCAATTTATAATGTCAATTACACTTTAACAAGCTGAACTTTTAAAAAAGGAAAGACAGGAAGCTATAAACAGTAACCACCTGTGAAACTAGGACTGTGGAGATGATGACTTAATTCTCCTTTTTTTTTTTTTTTTTTTTTGGTAAGGAGGATCGAACTTGGGACCTTGCACTCAGTGAGGCAGGCGGCGGAACCACTGAGCTAAATCCCCTGACTTCCTGCCCAGTTTTCCCTTTTTGTACTGTTAAAATTTTTTATGAAAAAGTGTTGTGGCTATTCTTTTTTAAAATAAAACTGTTCACATGGGCAACAACAACAACAACAAAAAATCAGTCTGCATCGAGGTTAAAAACTAATGGGTTTGGAGAAACTTTTCAAAGTGGGATCTATGTGGAGCAGAAAAGGCTGTGTAGGGAGGCAGCTTCCGGTGTGGCTTAATTGCTGAGAACTGCAAAGGCTGCGCTGTAAACCTCTTTCATAGGTTCCATTATGTTCCTCTTTGCTTGAGGTCAAAGTCTCTGGGGCTCAGCAGTAATCCAGGAATAAATAGCACTCTACCTCTCTGGGATTAAAATAGACATCATTAGCGTAGGAAATCTGGTCATTGTTCATTTTCAACAATGGGAAACTTGTTACTTGGCACTTCAAACGTGCAAAGCAGAAGTAGGGGCACTAATTGTCAGTGCCGTGTAATTGTCGTCATCACACAGCCTGCGCTAGGCACTTTGCTGAAGGGTTTTAGATGGAGTCTCTTGTTTAATCCTAACGGTCGCCTGTGCTGCGAATATTTCTCCCTCCTCCCTCCCCTATGGATATTATTTTTACCTCCCATTTTGCAGAGGAAATTGAGCAAAGAGAAGTGTTTCTTCTTAGGTGTTAGAGATACTGTGATAAGTGATGGAACTGTGATTTTCTTTTTTTCGCCCCAGTGCTCTGGATCAAATCTAGGACCTGGAATACGAGGCAAGCCCCACCGTACGGACCACTGAACAACCTCTGCAGCTCTAGAGCACATGTGCCGTAGGTTCGCCACCCCTGGTCTAGGTTCTTCCGGAACCAGTTTACTTTGCAGTCGCTCTGTGTTGCCTCTCTGTGTGCTGGAATGAAAAAGGCAGCAGCCCTGCTTCTGAGGTGCTTACGGTCCAGCCGGGGTTACAGGTACTGAAACACAACGAGCCTTTCACCCGATGAGTACTTAACGAAGCTGTGTGTCCAGTAGCACGCGGGAACCAAGGCAGCCTCTTCCCAGCCCTCCCCGTGGAAAGCGGGCAAGGTGGCGTTTCAACTGGACCTGAAAGGGCAGAGGAGATTTGTCACAGCGAGAAGGGATAACAGGCACGGCAGGCAAAGGAAATTGCATGTTCAAAAGGTGCAGGAGAATAAAACACGAATGCACGGCAGATTTGGGGTCAAGGAAACGGAAGAGAGGAAGAATCGGGTGGTGCAGTGGAGTGAGAAAGGAGCTGGTTGGGGAGAGGCCTCCCTGGCTGTTGAGCAGCCACGCAGCGGGTGCAAGCAGAGCGACAGGGTCAGAGCTGCAGTGAGGAATCTGGGGAGACTCCACCTCCTCACCCACTGACCACGGAGAAGCCAGACTTTGGACCCAAGTTCACAGAGACCTGGAGCTCAAGTTGACCTTGGCTGTGGGAGAAATGGTGTTCCTGGTTGGTGTGTTGTTTATTTTCTTTTGCCTAGGGAAATCAACTTTGATATGCTGACTCTAAAAGGCTTAAGCAAAATGCTTGCTGTTTTCCTATAAGATAGAAAGAAACACTCGGCATTCCTCTCTGACCATTGTTCTTGCTGCCTATAGAAGGGAGTTTCCTCTTGTGAAAAGCTTTCAGTTTCAACCAACAAAAAACCAGATTTGAATCAAATAATCTATCAGTGCACAATACTGGAATGTTCCGAGGCAGCTTTAGGTGAGGCTTGATCCAGCAGCAAAATACTGTTCTTGTGCTTCTCTCCTGTCTTTTTACTAAAGCTGACTCCTTTTGGTAGCAAAATGGCTAAACAGCTTCCAGGACTATCTATCTGTCTTCTCATGTATGTGGAGCAAGAAAGACAACATCTCTGTCTTAGTACACCCAACAGCAGTGCTGAGATTATAACAGCTTTGGTCACAGGCAGACAAATCCAATCGCAGTGGCAGTGGATAAGGTGCAATGATTAACTCAGTCTCTAGGGGACCTGTGCTTGGCCACTGAAGTCAGATTGCAAGAGTTGCATAGATCTCCAAATAGAAAAGAGGAGTACTGGGAATGAATAAAGGGCTCACTCAACCATCATCCTCTGTAATCATGTAAGAAAGATTTGGAGGACTCACCAAGACTTGCTTTTCACATAGCATCCTTTATTGTACTTAGCAGTTGTTAATTCAGTGGTACCAAATACCCTCAAAGATTCTGGTTTCCCTGGTCTAGGCATCAGTATGTAGTTCACAGCTCCTGGGGTAATTCAAGTGGGCCCCAAGGGGCTGAGAACCACTGCTTTAATCTTTCATTATTGCTACTTCCTCAGTCATGTGCTTAGTTTTGTGTAAATCTGAACGCTGTTCAATCTGAACAAACCAGAATAATTTTAGTGCTATGATTTAAACCTGTCTCTCAAATTTCATGTGTTGGAAACACAGTCCTCAAAGTCACATATTAATGTATGAGGGGTGGGACCTTTGGGAGGTGATTGGGTCACAGAGCCTTCTGTCCTAATACACTCATGATTAATGGGGCAGGCATTGTAGAAGTGGCTTTGTTATAAAAATGAGTTCTCGCTGGATCACCCTTCCCATGTGACGCCTTCTGCCACACTGTCGTGCCCTTCACTGCCCACTTACACATGGTGCCTCCTCTCCTTCTTCTCTCTTCCTGCTCCTCCTCCTCCCTGTTCTTCTTCGTCCTTCTCCTCCTCTTCCTCCGCTTCATCTTCTTCCTCTTCCTCCTCCTCTTCCATTTTCTCTTCCCCATCCCCCTGCTGCTTCTCCTTCTCCTTCTTCTTCCTTTCCGATGAAGTCTTGTAAATTTGCCCAGCATGGCCTCGAATTTGCAATCATCCTACCTAAGCCTTCTGAGTGTCTGGGATTACAGGCATGTGCTGCCGTGCCTGGCCAGCCTCTATTCTTTACAAATTATCTGGACTGGGTATTTTGTTATAGCAACAGAACATAGGTGAAAACAGTGGACAATCATATAATACAGTGAACGAACCCTTATTGAGACTTACATGTCCCAGGCACCCTGCAAGTTATTTTATATATTGTATGTCATTTTATTAACTCAACAATCTTATGATTTAGAGAATATTATCTCTTTTACACATGAAAAAACCAAAGCCCAAGGAACTTTACTTATTTATCCAAGGTCATATATCTAGTATGTATATAAGATAGGACTGGAGGGGCTGGGGATGTAGCTTAGAGGTAGAGCACTTGCCTATCATACATAAGGCCATGGGTTCAATTCCCAGCACCAGATGAAGGGAGAGGGATCCTGAACCTACATGTACCTCACTTCAAAATTGCCTGCAAGTGACCTCTGCTAAGCTTTGTTCCAGAATCATGATTATAAGAGGTCTCATTTATAGTTCAACATTGCCCAACCTTTTCTTGTCCCTGACACACCCAGGGCCTGCCAGGTCATGTCTAGGTGAGGTTTATTTTTTAAAACCACCTCTTAACTGTTCTCTGTACCACCTACCACATTTTATATACATTGTATTACACACAGAGATTACACTTAATATATATGAAATAAGTCATAATCTAAGTGTATATTCATAAGTTACATATCACCCTGAGAGTTTATATCTCTGCACACACCCCTATATTTTATACACACATAACAGTTGTGGATGTAATAGGAGGGAAAGAATACTGACTTAGAATTCTGCTTTTGACTAGCTCAGTGAACTTACACCCCAATTTATCGACTATCCTTTTAATTATCTGTAAACAGAAAGACAGTGCTTGCTTTTTCCTACTGCCCGATGACCTGAGAATAAGTGAGATAGCATTCCTAGCAAGGAGTCTTGCCTATATATTTTTCCCTTGTTGATGAGCTAGAAAAAAATGTTGATAAATATATGTGATGTGTTGGCACCAGCCCTTTACGGAGCCATGCTGTATCTCCATATAGCCCCTTCGATGCCCCAAATTCCTCTCCTGTTCTCATTTGCCGACATGATTCTGTGTAATGAGCGTGGCTCAAAGATTATGAATTTAATAGAATGTAGGGGAAAGGGCAGAAGGAAAGAGAAAGAAGAAGAGGGATTTTTAGTACTTTTTTTTAAAGTATAAAAGAAATCACTATTTTTTTTTTCCTGTTTGGGGTGGTGGGATTGAATTCAAGGCCTCACATACATCAGGCAAAATCTCTATCCCTAAGCTATACCTCTAGCCCTAAGTATGAGCGTTTTTTGTTTGTTTTGAGGCAGGGTCTTGTTATGTAGCCCAGCCTGGCCTTGAACTCATGAATCTCCTGCCTCAGCCTCCAGAGTGCTAGGATTATAGGTTTGTGCCACCACACCTGGCTCTAAAATGGGCAATTTTACATAATGTTGGTGGGTGTATAATTTGGAGAGCCTCTCATCAAACTGGAGACCAATGTATTAGTCCCATTTTGTACTAGATAGTTTAAAAAATAGCCACGTGTGGTGACACACATCTGTAAGTCTAGCTACTCAGGACTTTGAGGCAGAAAGACCTCAGGTTTGAGGCTAACCTGGGCAACTTAGTGAGATTTTATCTCAGAGTAAAATATAAAAGAGCTGGGGAGGCCGGGGATTTAGCTCAGCGATTCGGTGGCCTGCCTTGCAAGCGCAAGGACCCGAGTTCAATCCCCGGTACCAAAAAAAAAAAAAAAAAA